CCCACTCCCCTAGAAATTACAATTCCACAACAACTAGAAATGGGGCTTTTAGGCTGGGTTCACACATAGGCGTATCGAATATGCGCCTTTCTACCGCGATTCGCGGTTAAAAAAACGCGTGTTTCCGAGGGTTTCCTGGCTGTATCCCAATGGATACGCCCCAAAGAAGCTCCTGTACTTCTTTGGGCGTAGGGCGTTTTGTAGCGCGTTCTTACGGCCTGTAATACGCCCAGCTGTGAACCATACCCATAGGAAATAATGGGATTTCGGTGTTTAAGCGTTTTGCAGAGCGTAGGAACGCGCTACAAAACGCCCAGGTGTGAACCGGGCCTTACAGTGTAATATCATGGATGGAAAAGATGCAAATCACATAATGTCAAACATATCCCGTATTTATAAAAATATAAGGTTCCCGAATAAGGGCGATGCCCCCCCATCCAGTGTCAAAGTCAAAATGTAAGCATACCTTAAAGGAGAACTATGAGGTGAGTGCTTTTCACTCACCTCATAGTTCTAGCCGATCTGTGACAATGAGACTGTCACAGGTCGGCTCAGTAGATCGGGCGGTGAGAGAACACATACCGGCGTTCGCTCACCTCTCGATCCTGTCACGGCTCTCTGCCGTGACAGGGGAGGGGCTGGATTCCCCGCTCCGATCCGCCAGCGCTCACTGGCGGAACGGACGGGGAGGGGGCGGGTACAGCTGGCTCTGCCTCTAGATAGGCAGAGCCAGCTGTCACTCACGCAGCTGGGCGGATCCTGTCATCTACGTCGGGATCCGCTGCGGCGTCTCAGTATACCGCGAGCTGTAGCTCCCTATATACTGAGCGTAGGGTAACGGGAGGACGCTAGTTTGTGTCCTCCCGTTACCCTAAGGAGAACTATGGGGAAAAACACTGACCCCATAGTTCTCCTTTTAAATGTGATTCATGTTGTAGTGTCCTAGCGGTGAAGATGAGGGAAGCTTTGCTTAATGTTTAATAGGACACTTACCCTTTAAAGCAGTGGCGGTTAAATTGTGTGATAGAGGGGGGGGGTGCCTCAAGCGCAACCGTTGACATCAACAAAGGGCCACACATAAGATTCAGTGAAGTCTATGCTACAAAAAGCTGACAGAGACTGCAGATATTCAACAGGAGATGGTCAAAGTCTAAGGGCTTGCTACAAGAGATGGTTTGAGACGGCAGACATACTATAGGAGGTGCTCAGAAACAGCAGAGATACAAGAGGAGGTGGTCAGAGACTACGGCCCTGCTACAAGAGATTGTCAGAGACTGTAAATGTGCCAAGTTGTTGAGGACTGTGGACAGGCTTTAGGAGACATAGAATGGAGACACATTACATAAGACTGCTAGAGATCACTGCTATTACAGGGCAGTAAGGAATAAGGTCTACTATATGAAAGGTCCCCAAGGGCGTCGCAAAAGAATTCCGCTGGGCAGTGTGTCCCCGGCCGCAGGTTGTGCACCGGGGCTTTAAAGCCTGCTAGAGAGGATAGAGCTGGTGTGTAAAACATGCGGCCCATGGTGATCTTCTGTATGACTAAAGGTACTAATCTGCCCACCATAACCTTCAGGGAAGCCGCTTCTTTGGCTTGCCTATTGCAACTTTCTAACTGCTTACCACCTCCAGGGGTGACTTCACCTTGACTTAGACTGAGCATAGAGTCCAAGGACCCAAACTCCTCTGCCTAGGTTTAGACTGAGCATAGAGTCCAAAGACCCCATAGTCATCCACCTAGGCTTAGACTGAGCATGGAGTCCAAGAACCCATACTCATCCACCTAGGCTTAGACTAAGCTTGGCATCCAAGGGCTGATACTCATCCACCTAGGCTTAGACTGAGCTTGGAGTCCAAGGGCCCATACTCATCCACCTAGGCTTAGACTAAGCTTGGCATCCAAGAGCTGATACTCATCCACCTAGGCTTAGACTGAGCTTGGGGTCCAAGAACCCATACTCACTCACCCGCCTAGGCTTAGACTGAGCATAGAGTCTAAGGACCCATACTTATTGACCTAGGCTTAGCCTGAGCATAGAGTCCAAGGGCCCATACTCATCCACCTAGGCTTAGACTGAGCTTAGAGTCCAAAGACCCATACTCATTTGCATATGCTTAGACTAATCATTGAATCCAATGGCTCATGCTCCTCCATCTAGGCTTAGACTGAGTATAGAGTTCAAAGACCCATACTCATCCACCTAGGCTTAGACTGAGCATAGAGTCCAAAGACCCATAGTCCATCCACCTAGGCTTAGACTGAGCATAGAGTCCAAAGACCCGTAGTCCACCTAGGCTTAGACTGAGCATAGAGTCCAAAGACCCATAGTCATCCTTCCATACTCCTCTACCTCAGAAAGCTAGTGCTGACCTGCTCCCCTCTTGAACCCAGAAGTCCAACCCAACTTTCCCGCTTTCACATCCACTTATAAAATGCACTCTGCAGATATAAAACGCAGGCAATCGATCGGGCACACCGTGTACTGTGTATATTGTGGGAGAGTTGCAGTAGGCGAGGCCGGCTGTGTGCAGCGGAGGAGACACTCTGGTCTGGCCCAGCAATGTTTTGCTAGCTGTGGTCAGGAGGTTTATTGCTCGTGTTCCAGCCGCAGGCTTCCGTCTCTCCCAGGGATGAGCTCGGAGCCGTCAGTGCTTTGTGCAGAGCTGGAGATGTGGCCTATTTATCACGTCCCCTCTATAATGATGTGTCTGTGTTTTCTCTGCCTGCATACTGCAGAGACTGGCTGAGCTCCTCTACACAGCACAGCGGTGCCAAAGTACCGGCACGATCCAAAGAAACCACGGCACATCTCAACTGGATTCCCATTGGGGGATGGCATTCCATCCGTCCATCCATGTCACTCTAGGAAGAAGAGATACAAAATAATTCAGCTCTGTAATAAGAAATCTATCATGCAAGCAGCGTAAGAACCTACATCTGGCCTGGGCTCAGCCTCTTGTAGTACCCGTAATGCAGAGCTCGGACTGGGAGAGGGAGAAGCAGCACAAGGAGTCAATCAGTTCATGTGCTGACAAGAGCACATGCTGATACGGTAGGAAGAGAGAGCAGAGTGACAGAGCAATGCGCTTCTCACTGTGCTGCTTCTCCTTTCACTGTTCAGTCATAGGCTGATAGATGAGCTCACCGCTGTGCTGCTTCGCTTTTCACGGTCCAGTCACAGGCTGACAGATGAGCTCACTGATGTGCTTCTTCTCCTTTCATGGTCCAGTCACAGGCTGACAGATGAGCTCACTGATGTGCTTCTTCTCCTTTCATGGTTCAGTCACAGGCTGACAGATGAGCTCACTGATGTGCTTCTTCTCCTTTCATGGTTCAGTCACAGGCTGACAGAGAGATGAGCTCACTGCTTTGCTTCTTCTTCTCCTTTCATGGTCCAATCACAGGCTGACAGATGAGCTCATCGCTGTGCTGCTTCTCCTTTCATGGTCCAATTACAGGCTGACAGAGAGATGAGCTCACCGCTGTGCTGCTTCTCCGTCACTGTTCAGTCACAGGCTGGGGGATGGTCCAGGAAAACCTGGGTTTACACTGAGGAAGGATGCTGGACATCAGACTGACATCCAGTGGCAGAACATAAGCACT